CGATGCAGATATGGCGAGCTCCAGGCACCCACGTCGCCCAGCCGGCTGCGGGAGGGCCTCAAAGGGGGCCGGGGCGCCGAGCTCGGCGATGTCGCGAGCGCAAGAGCTGTTCGCCGGAGACCTGGGAGTTGTGGAAATGTTTCTACATCCGGTCGGGGACCACCCCGTCCCGTGGAGACCACAAGTCCGGCTACATGTTCAGGTGGACTAGTTTTGGGCAGGCGGCTCTCTCGGAGCCGTGTAACTGTCATCGAATCTGAGTCTTGGGGTTGGGGAGGGGGGTGGGGGGTGGGGGGTGGGGGGGGGCCAATGAATGCGGCGCTTCTCTGTTGCTGTGCTGGGGTGGGGTGGGGGGTGGGGGGGGGCGAATGAATGCGGCGCTTCTCTGTTGCGACCACCTGTGCTTGGGGTGGGGGGTGGGGGGTGGGGGGGGGGGCCAATGAATGCGGCGCTTCTCTGTTGCGACCACCTGTGCTTGGGGTGGGGGGTGGGGGGTGGGGTGTGGCGGGGGGTCAATGAATGCGGCGCTTCCATTTCTGCTGTCATGTGCACCATAGCCGACGGAGCCTCCAGCCTAGGTCATTTCAGCTTCTTCTCGTGTAATCCAAGCGTTCATTTTCGCATTATGTTTATGTGTTCCAACAAGCGGGATTTTGGGCATATTTATTACGTATGTTTTTTCCAGCATCCCACGACGGAGCCCCAGGCTAGGTTATTTTAGCTTCTTCTCGTGTATTAGGTCAAAAAATGAACTTTTCGGGGACCCCCTTTGCACAGCCCATGTCGCAAGAAGTTTGAGTCAAATGAGGCAAAAACACCGCAAATACCAGTGAATTTGCCTTCTCGCACTTCAAACCACGCAAAATGCTGTCGGTGACAGTTACACGGCTCCCAGAGAGCCGCTTGCCTAGTTTTGTACCAGAATCAAAATATGCGTTTGGAACCAAAGGCTGACGAAGGCGGTGTTTCCCATGGAACACCTGGCGTTCGAGGGACAACACAAGGCGGGTGGCAGGCGTATGGAGTTTTTTGACCGTGGCAGATATGGGGAGTGAACTTTGCCGGGTTCTCCTTTTAAGGTTGCTAGGGGTGCCTGCAGGGCTCCGGGGAGTCCGTCATTTGGAGACATGCAACCTCGCATGTCGCCTTGGCTTGCGACTGGAAACAGAAGGTGGCCTTTTGAGAGCCCGACTTCGATTTCTCGTCGGTATTTCACTTGGTGAATTATTCCAATCCGCCCAGATGGTGTTTCTGTTTGATGGTAACGACCTGTTTAAGGTTCAAAGGGAAAGCATCCTTCAGCAAATACAATCTCACATTTCCTTTGCAACTTTTGGAAAGGCCAATCGACAACAGCAGCTCCACCTGTTTTCAATTTCTTGAGTCATACGCTGCAGAGCAATGCAAGGGGAGGCGTTGCAAACTACTACTGACTAACAGTTGCCATTTGGGTCCATGAATCAAGGGCCATGAAGGGTCCTACCGCGTCATGGCTCTCAATCAGTGGATCCAGTGGGCCCAAGAAGGGCAGGGGTTCTTTCAGAATGAATGGCCCCGACCAACCCCCAAACATCCTTTTGGTGTTGCTCAGGCAGCTGGTTGGTAAGGGTCAGATTCCCAATCCGTCGATGCCTTTCGAGGAGCCGTCCTTTTAGATTGGACCTCCATTTTTTTTTGGGGGGGGGCCTGCGCTGTAGTGATTCTCCGGCCGCGAATGCCGAGCATCATTGTGGCATTCGAAGCAGATCTCATTTGGAACAACTCAGTTTCGAGAAACCATCGGCCACTATCTTCCAAGGGTTGATGTCGCAAGACCCAAGTTGAATCGGCGCCAGACCATTCCTCAAGGTTTCATGGGTGGTTCAACCATGTCCTTGGGGAAGGGCCAACAATCGTGTGAACTTCCCAATGACCCGTTCTGGTCGAAGCTCACCCATGAAGGTTAGGTCCATCGAGCACCCCTTCTACCGCCTCTCCCAAAAGTGGACAAGGAAGTCTGCAGAGGTATGCGCTCCCCTCGATGGAAACAAATGCAGACCTACACATACGACCCGAGGCAAAGGCTCTCTCGATGGGGCCTCGCAAGTGAGCGGCGGGGTGAGCATAGGCAGCGCAAATAGCGCGGGGTGAGCATCGGCTCCGTTCGCCGCGATTTCACCGTGAGCTTCTGCTAAAAAATAATAATCGAGATCCCTTTTGCCGCGAGGCCTGCGATCTGCGAACATGGGTGCCCCTTTTTCCCGGGAGGCCCAGAAACCCAGGAGATCCAAGTAGCACGCGCCATCCGAGTCGAAACCCTGCTACCGGCCTCGGTTCATTGGGTCTCAGCTTGTCAAGCGCATGTTGAGAGGTTTTTCCCTATTGGTTGCAGAGGTTGATCCCCCGATGATTTTCACCCCCCCTTCTTGTCACAAAAAAAGCCCTCGGTTCTCTCATGGGTTTTGCATTCCAGAAAGACCTTTGGGGTGTTCGGAAGCTTTAAGTTCTTCAGGCCTTAGCTTTTGGACACATTGGCCGAATGCGGGTGCAACTCGGTCGCCAGTTAATTCACAGCTCCAGTGCCAGACTGGAGCTTCCGGCCGAATCATCTCCGGTCCGGCGGGCGAACAGTTTGCCTAGGGCCGCTTCGAAGGATGGACGACGGCCTTAGATCGACCCGACCAGGTGCCGGTTTTTGGGGATAGACGGCGTTGGATCGACCCAGCCGGTGCCGGGTTTTGATGGATTGCTCCTTTCCAATCGGTGTTTTAAAGCAGATGTCCAGCTTTTGCAACGACGGGCCCGGGGATGTCGGCCGCTCTAGGCAAGAAAGGGCCGCCTTTAGGCGAAGCCTGAGGCCTTGCGCCTTGCCTTCGTTTAGCGCGTCTCACCCCGTTACGCCGTTTGCAGTTGGCGACAGCGCCTGAAATTTTAGGCAGGCACCAGGTCCACTCAGCGAGAGACGCGATCTTCTTTCTTTTGACAGAGATTCTTCGCATGGCCATTTGGAGCACGCCCCATGGTTTGGAGCCCCCCCAAGCCATGGCTCTTCCCCTGTCCGACCAATTCGTAGCTTTTTTCCTCCGGGGGTCCCTGTGGGGTTCCAAGTTGGCTCTCAATGGCCATACCGGTGCTGCCAGCGCAGTTGCCGTTGTCCCATCAGGTGCCCTTGCAGAGAGACGTTGGAAACCGAGGCCCAACTCGTGTCTCCGGTGTCCCCCCAATTTGCGCACAACTCGTGGCGCAGGAATGACTGGCAAAGCCAAGCAAAAGACCCGGAGCTGAGAGCTGCTTTGAGATGTCCTGACATGCAGGAAGGGAATCCGAGTCTTTGCTTGGACCCTGCCCTGTTTGGGGGCAACAGATGTGGAGCCCTACAGGGAAACACGAAAGGGGACTTGACCAGCCGTTTCTCCTTAGTCCGCTCCTGCAACATATTTCTGAGACTGCGCTTGAATGCTCTTTGTCTCTTGCCTCTAGACATCGTTAGTGTTGTTTGAAGGGGTCCATGTTTTCACCTTTGCTCTCCCAGCTTGTGATTGCAGGGTGACCAGTTAGCAGGGTGTCTTTTCGTCTTGTTACCATGCAGTTACAAAGCGAACGACTCAAAAAGCTGCGCGAGCAAAACCGCGCCCTTCAGCAAAACTGCGTAGCTGTCTGCGGATGTTTGCAGATGGGAGGCGGGGGTCGGCTACTCTGCGGTGGTGCAGCAGTTCGTGGAGCAAATCAAGCAGTACACGGAGCAGTGGGAGGCCGTGTTTTTGTTTTTTTTTTGCGAGCCGCAGAAACCATTGGTCATGGCTCCAGCCGTGTGGTGGTCGTTCACGTTTTGGAAGGGGTTTAAAATCGTTAAGTAGGTCGTACTTCCTTTGTTCCACTTAGTCCATTGATTGAGCCTAAGGCAGCGCTCGGTTGTGGGATAATTCAAAGCCAGATTAATTACAAGTCATGATTCATGAACTGTGGATGGTCAAAATTCGCTTCGCACCAGTTGGAATGGATGAAACTCTGTGAACACCGGCACAAACCACCTACCATCTGGTGCAGGATTTGGCCTGTCCACAGTAGGAGCAATTTGTTCGTGATTGTTCAGGGAATAGGCCCTGATCCAACTATTCATCGACGTATGATGTAAGGAGGCATGATTTTTCTTTTGCTTGTCATCCAGCCACCAATACACGCTTGCAGAGAATGGTTGGTGGAGGCTTTGTTGCATTTCCCCACTGGCAGCAGGCAAGTGGTTTATTTGCATACATCCTTCGTCCAAATGAAATGATCATGGCACCTCTTTCGGCAACCCTCACGATGTTCGCTGTTGTTTCATTAGAAGTTGGACTCCCTCACATGTG